CTTTCAAAATTATATTGCTTCTGCCATTTGACTCTTTTCTTATTCGTTTTCGGCTATATTTTATTTTGACAATTTTATAATGCTTTATTAGTTTTTTTTTCTTTTCATTGAAAAATAACATCGAGATATAGATGTTAATTATTTTAGTGAATTAATCGAGAAATTCAATCAAATATTTAGAAAATCTTACATAGTCGCGCAATAAAACAATGCTGCTGTTATTTTTTTTTCTGCTTGAAAAAAATTATTTTTCGATTTGTAAATAAAATATATTCTTCGATTATTGAACTGTATCATAAAACAAAATCATTTGATAGATTTATAATTATGTAATAAAATTTAATGAAAAAGTCATTTTAATATAAAAGATTCAAACAGTTGCATACTTTTTTTTTCAAGAAAATGTCATGTTAAGATATAAATATTGAATTTATGTTATTCAATTGTAATTAAAGATATCTGGTGTCAATGCATATGTATTCAATTTGAATGACAATGTCAACCAACAAAATAAATTACCATTAAATAATAGAGGTGTGACAGCTAATAGTTCTATGAACTTGGAGCAAAAGGTTAGACCTACTACTGAAAAGTTGGTTTTTTTTTTAAACAAAGATTAGATCAATTCTTTTCACATGACCTATTGTCCGTTTCAAAATAAAAAGCAGATTATCATTTTCTGAATAACTTTCGCTGTGTACAAGATATAGACCTGCGGTTTACCATTCGAAGGAGCGATGTTCGGGTCATCGATCGATATAGAACTCATTAGGACGAAAGATGTTTTTTTTTAATAGGTGCTTTTGAATCAACATTTTTTTCTTTGGGTATTTTCATCAATTTTCACAATAGTCTCAACTCAAATTATGTCAAAATGTAGCTCAAATCACCCTTTTTCTTTCGCTATAAAATTATTACATATTTCATTATCTCTTAATATCTTATTCTAAGCGGATTTTAACAACCAATGTTAATTTTATAGTGAAAAAAAAGGGTGATTTGAGCTGCATTTTGACAGAATTTGAGTTAAGATTATTGTGAAAATACGCAAAGGAAAAAGTGTTGATTTAATAGGACCTATTAAAAAAAACATCTTTCGTCCTAATGAGTTCTATATCGATCAAGGACCCGAACAGCGCTCTTTAGAATGGTGAAAACCGCAGGTCTATATCTTGTACGCAGCGCAAAATTATTTACAAAATGACAACCTGCCTTTTATTTTGAAACGAACAATAGTAGAAGAGAGCAGGAACGAGTGATGGTATAGTATTTGGTCGTGTGAAGAAAAAACGTTGCCTAACATAAATATGTTGTTATGTTACGTATAAGTAATATATAAATAAGTAAATAGACCAGAAGAGACCACGTATCATTTTATGCTGCGTGAGAAGGTGCTATCATCCATTAAAGTATGTGTTAGAAATACTGTCATGAGGTTGAAAATATAGACATCTAGATGCTTACGTAGGAGCAAGAGTAAGCGAGGATTACATAGTGAAATACATATTTTCTGTTCATTTGTATAGTTGAAACATAGGATAGGAGTCATTGAACATTCCTGACAATCGAGTAGAACGTATGAAATCAATAAAAAGAAAAACAGATTTGGTTAACTATGTTAAAGGCAACAAAAAAAATGAATCGATAACGGGCTGTTCCGCTTCCAATCTTGTAACAAAATTTGTCTAGATTATTCTACGGACGATATTAAGGCAAAGTTCTTGACATATCAGTGACAAAAATCTCAAATCTTTCTTAATAGATGCAAGACATATTGTCAGTTATACGAAATAAAACTTTCACAGATTGAAGTTATTTGTTTCTTTTTTTTTTCATTTAAGAGAATTTAAAGTTATTGATAGAAGGTTAGGTCATTCTTGGAGAAAGAGATCCAAGTACTTTCGAAAATATTTTGTAAGAACTATGTCAAAATAAATTTTCTCTACAAGTTATTTTAGAAAAAAACTAAGGTGAACGAAACAAAAGGAAATTGTTTTTAAATTTCTAAACTTTTGTAAGAACGAACAAGTAGATCAAAGAATATAAAAACCCTATCTGCCTATATTTAATCATCAAAAAAAAACTGTTTCTTCTACAAGAAAAAAAAATGAAGACAATAGATTTTTTTTATAGAAAAAACAAAAAAAGAACAATAATCATCTTTCAACGATATTCACCATGTTCGGAATAAAAAGTAAAAAGTTTTTCTAAAGTTTGCATTTCTTCTAGTTTATATTTGGCCAAACTATTCAAGTTAAGATCTTTCAATAAATCCAAAAAATTTGGTTTCATGTGAGATCTTTTGCATTGATTAATATAATGATCTATTATTTCATGTTGATCTACATTGTGTGCTTGTCTACAAACAATAATTTTAACAAGTTCTTTATAATTAAAAATGCCAGTAACTTGAGCAATTTTCTGATAAATAAGAACAATATCATTATATGTATCTTCTGAAATACGTGCAGCACGATAATTACCATCAAGTAATGCAACTAATAATTCTTCATCCAATGGATCAACTCGTATTCTTGCTAACCGAAAATGTTTTAATAATTCATTTTTTAGTGGTGTTGAAATTGCATAAGCTAATTTTTTGAAATTTGCTTCATATGTGATTTCTTGTAAATCACGTACTGCTTCTTTTAAACTATTTGTTTCAGTTTCATTATTATTTAATCTTTCCCACATAATACAATTAGTCATTACAAGATTTTCAATTGTTTTTCGTACATCAAATATTAATGATTCCAATTTTTTAAATGTACTGTAATCAATTGCAGGAGAATTGTTATCATTATTCGATACCAGTAAATCTAATAATTTGTTATGTACTTCATCAAAATCACGTACTGATTGTATATGAAGTTGGTTGATAAGATCATATTTTCGAAGAATAAATAAAAATTTTTCCCATCGTTCATCATTGTTTATTTGTGAATCATTTAATAAAGTTTCTAATTCACTTAGAAACATTAATTTATCAGACATGATAATAAATATAAATAATCTAAAAAAATACGTTGAAAATAGTTAACAATATTTCACATCCTATATCCTAATTTGTTCAAACATGTTTTATCTTTTGATTTATTATTTTTATCAGGAAAAACTGTTTTATCTATAGAAATAAAACAACTGTATCAGAGTAGGCAGCATTTTTTATTTCACTCTAAAAAATCAGGACTCATGAAGTGTATAGACAAGACGATTCATCTGCTTATATAAGACATTTTAAGTTAATTTTGATTGGTTGATATATCACTAATTTAGACGCTTCAAGTCTCAACGGATAATCGATTTTAGATACTCGAGCGTCTTACTCGCTTCTGGTTGAATGTTCTGTACTAGTAAGAGAAGTGCCTAACATCTATCTTCCTTAGACACTTCAAGTGATCAACGAGCTACTAATTCTAGAAATGATTACATTTCGATATGAATAGTATGCAATAAAAAAATATTTTTGATAAAATAATTTTATATTTTTTCCAAATTTAACTTAACATCTTATCGAAAAATATTGTAAAAATTTTTAAATTCTCTTCAACACATGTTAAGTTAGATTTGAAAAATTGATGAGAAAAAAAATATAATTATTTTATCAAAAATATTTCTTATTGCGCACTATTCATATCAAAATGCAATCATTTCTAGAATTAGCAGCTCGTTGATCAGTCGAAGCATTGAGGAGGAAAGTATCAAAGTTGTTTAAAAAGTTAAGGGCGCATAGATGTTGTTTGGAATATTAATATAATCTAGAAAAAAATCAATAAATGTAACATAGTAACATAAGGTGAAAATCTGAAATAAAATAAGTAATATATATGTATAAATGTTTATTTATTTATATTCAGAAACTGGATCTTTTCTTCACAATAGCTTTAAAAAAACGGAATACCTACGATTTCAAAGAGACTTACTAAATAACTTGAAATAATTTCTTTAAATTTTATAAACTGTTTTATTAATTTTACTCTTCCTTTTTTATTTTATTTTTATTACGACATTTCGAAGGACACTTCCTTCTTCGTCAGGTGTTATAAACAAATGAATTAAATTTACAAAATAAGAACACACATATATATGTTGTGGTCAAAATTGAAATTCAGTCAAATTTAAAATTTGCCCAGTCAAAATGAAAATTTCAATTCTGCCTAGGCAAAATTGAAATTAGAAGTTTGTCCAATGAATTGTTAGTCAAAATTGAAATTTTAATTTTGACTGGGCAAAATTGAAATCGTTCTCTAATCAATAGAAGCAGGTAATAAAGGATAAAGAATTGAGTATAACAATTTTTTTATTCGGAAATATTTTGTGAGCATTTCGGAGTGTCACAATAAATGAGCTCAATCCAAAAGAAATTCGGAAATATTTTCGACAAAAATAAAATCAGTACTAGTTTTATTTAGTTTATAAGAACAACTATCTCTTTTATAAGACGTTTGGTCGAGCAAAAAACGGTTGAGCGACGATACGGGTGATGCTTCTTTTGTTAGCTCTTCTTCACACCCTCATCCTCACCCCATTAGAGTCCACCGAGTCATAGATATTGTAGACCCAAATTTGGTTGATTGAAGCTTCCAGGAACTCGAACCCAAACTCAATTGGTTTAAGTTTTCTAGGAACTTTCATTCATGGTAATAAGGACTTCAAACATTCTTCTATAGTTACGCAAAAAGTGAACTCTTCAGACTGCACTGGAGTAAAGGTACTTAGTTTTCTAATGTGATCATGATTTTTGAAATACTCTATATTATAGTCTATCGAATCGAAGAATTTCTAAACCCAGACTCAAATTCAGGCCCGACAAACTTGGAAATTTTTCAGACCTAGATCCTACCCGAGCCTGAGCAAGCATGGATCCGGATCCAAATGGACCCGATGAGCTCTGACTCCCACTTACACTCTCATCCCACATACTATATTCATCTTCTTCTTTTGATTAGAAAAGGATTTCAATTTTGCCCAGTCAAAATTAAAATTTCAATTTTGACTAACAATTCATTGGACAAACTTCTAATTTCAATTTTGCCTAGGCAGAATTGAAATTTTAATTTTGACTGGGCAAATTTTAAATTTGACTGAATTTTAATTTTGACCACAACATATATATACGAATACAAGAAATTGAACTTCCTTTTTTATATTTATCCTCTTTTTTTTTTAATTTTCAATGGTGGAATGGACGACGAAGAAGAAAATGGGTGATATATTTTCTTTCCGATCCAGTGTTATCGTCTTGTCGTCGTCCGTTCCACTATTGAAAATTAAAAAAAAAGAGGATAAATATAAAAAAGAAAGTTCAATTTCTTGCATAGATATCCACCCGTAAAACGACGAACTTTCTTTTCAAGCTTTTAGATAATTAAAACAGTGATAAGAGAAAAAGTCAGCTGGAAGTCTGTTTACTTATAGCTAAGATAGTTATCAGTTTAGTTTATCATAGATAATCAATAATAATGAGAAGCAATCGATTCTATTCGTTAAAAAAAATATTTATAACTGTTTATTTAATTCTGTTACAAACGAATTCCAAATTGAGTAATTTACAAATTCTTTTTCATTTTGATTGTCTGATTGATCAAAACATCAATTTTAGATTTGAGACCAACAAAAAAAACTCGATGATTCCAATGAAAACTAATAAATATTTTGAAAAAAACCGTTTGATAATCAATCATATAAACGATTATTTTTATTTGATGATAGATTGATTTAGTCGATAATCGACATTCGATCACTTCTACTACATATTGATATCGAATCAAACTCGATTCCTATTTACATTGTTTATCTAATAAAGTTAGCAAAAACTAACTAATAGATATATTACATATCTATTCCATTAAGTATGTCTATATTATTAAATTTTATATAGAATAATATCATTTTAAAATATCTTTCAAGATATTCACTCGACAATAAATGTCTCCATCTAAATCACTATTATTGAACATTTATTTTATTTCAAAGATCTTTTCAAATAGATTTTGTTTTATTTGTCTAATTCGATAAAAATTCATATTCATATTAAATTATATAAAAGTTAATCTTAAACAAAAAAAAAGTCATCTCAATAACATATAGATATTCAATTTATTTGAATAGAAATAAAATATGTTAATCATCGATTATATAATAACAAAAAAATTATATATTGTTTATCTATACAATTATTAAAATTGTCTTCAGAAGAACAAAAATCGTTAACATTATGAGTGTGGGTTAAAAGAAGAACTGCACTCACAACCCACACCCACCCCACACTCGCACCCACACTCACATCCACACACTCACACCCACCCTGTTGGCTTCTATTATAGGTAATAGAGTATGACGTCAAGTTAAGTTGTAATATAAATAGAAAACTATGTGATCGATTTTTGCTGAGGATGGTGATGGTGGGGGCCGCACTATGGCCATCCTGCAGTTCTTTATCCACAGCACATTCACATGAGTCTCTGAATTCAATTTGAAACTTATAAAAATATAATCATTCGGACGTCCTCAAATTAAACTTTTCACTATTAAAAATTCAAATTAGTCGAAATTCGAAGAAACCAATGAAGTTTTTTGGTATAAATTTCACTCAATCAGACAAATCTTGATTTCGTACATCATCTCGCAAAAAATCAATAAAATCAAAAAAATCTGATTTGAGCTGTTTTTACCCTTCATTGATGCTTTTAAACAAAAGAATTTAAAAATTTTCTAATTTTTTTGATTAAATTGATTAAACTGATTTTTTTTTATTTAAAATTGATTAAAATCAGCTGTTTCTCCCTCGATTAATGGTCGAAGATATAAAAACAAAATAATTGAATAGTAGCTGTTTCAGAATGCTGACAAAGCTAAACGCGCAAAAACCTATGAAAATATGTTCATTGTTGTTGATGAAAAACGAGTTATCCCATGAAGTTAATAAATAGACACTCAGGAGTTAATCTCAACGACGACAAGTCTGTTCTCTTATTCAATAAAATACTCTTTAGTTCTTCTCATTAACCTATGTTAGAAGCAGACTGTTTTCTTTCAATTAATAAACAATGCAAAAGTCTTTGGAAAAATATTGAGTTGCATAGCTCAGTCACTTTAGAAGATAGGTAGCTAATTTTATTTTTGGAAAGACCACGACAAGTACTACAAAAAAAACCTGTATTTAAAGAACTGAATATAGTTCGTCTCGTCACATAGCTTGAAACTTCTTTTTTACTTCCCAATTGTTTTCATATATTTTTCGTTCAAGCTAACTCCATAAAATTTACATCGGACCAGCTTGAAATACGTTTAGTAGATTGTCAGTACGAGAAATAAATGGTATATTTTATTCGTTTAAATGTTCTTGAACAATATTTGAATAATGCGCTCTTGCTAAATCGAACCAGAACAGATAATTTCCATTCCAATTATATTTATCAATAAAAAGCAACAGATTTTTATTAATTCGTTGCGAGTTTTAAGGTCAACATCTCATGTGACGAATTATCCTAGTACCCCTGGTCTAATCTTATGACGAAATAGTATATATATATTACTAACTTGCTAAACTTTCTTGAGCAAGCATGATCTATTCTCAATTGAATATTATACAATGTAAGTCTTATGGTGTTGTTTTAAACAAAAAAAAAAGGAGAAAAAACGATTCTATGTAACATTTATATAAAAATCAATGATTCAGTCCGTTTATGAGAAGTTTAATTTCACGCAAAAAGTATTGAATTAAATGAAAAGATTCTTTCAATTATAATAATATTAATAGAACTCTTATTATTTATGAATGGTCAATTAATAATGATTTATCTCTAAAATAACTCATGTTACATTAAGTTTCAAAGTTTTTTCATAAATTAAATTCAATCAATATTATCTATCTGAACACAAAAACTATTTTAGTATTTTTTTAATCATACATTGCTTTATTTTATTGATTTAATAAATAGTGTCATTTTCTCGATTGAGAAAAAAAAATGAATTAATTAATTAATTACCAT